TTGGGGACACTTCATTTCCAGCGTTATCGTTGACATGATTGCAAGATACTACTTAAACTGAGCTGGATGTTGACATCACTGAATTCAATGATGAACTGTCTTTAACTGAAAAATGAGTGTTTACTATTGTCATTTTGCATTATTGACACTATTTTCCTAATTAATGCTGTTCAGTTGCTTTGTCACAATCTGTATTGTTAAAAGCGCTATATAAATAAAGGTGACTTGACAAGTTGCCCTATTTAAAATATAGTAGTGTAACTATTTCAATTGCTTAAAGTAATGTAAATGATTACATTTGATTGCTTTTTAATTCCTTTTCTAAATTTTACATTTCTAAATCATTTCAAATTATTTTCTAAACTGTGAATTATTTTGAAACATTTAAAGCAGGCAGGGTTAACTTTAGAGTAGTACTCAACACTGATTACGGTCAAAATACTTAATCTCTTGATAATTCATTTCAAAGCACAGCCACCACAAAATCAGACTTTAGCACCTCTTTTTACTTTGAGATCGTTCTGAGGTTAAAAACAGATTTCAAATAAAAATATATAGTTTAATTGCTATGATATTGTTTTTGAAATCAAATAAAAAAAATTGAAAGGACACTGGCATCTAACAATGCCTTGCAAAAACGGTTAATCTTAAAAAATAAAGCATATACATAAACCCAAATATGGAATAAAACAGTTATCAAGTAATTAAACACGTGTGCTATTCTGTGTCCTAAACTCCTGAAACATTTTAGAGCAGTCAATACAATTTATGAAAGGAATCAATCATATCTTTATGTGTGTGTGAAAATATTCAGATGTAAACCCTCTTTGTAATCGTTAACATTTCATAAGTAACTGTAATTACCCATTTTTTCTCAGTGCCTGTAACAGATTACAGTTACATTTATTTTGTAATTAAATTACATAATTCAGTTACATATAACTAGTTACTCTATATATTTTAAAAGTCTTAAGGGCCAGATTGACTAACAGCGTGCGCCAGCGCAAACCATCTTTTGGTGTTAGAATCGTACTGTCAGGATTTACTAACGCAATACCAGCTCTAGCAAAACTTCTAGCAAACCTTCATTTTTTTGGCCTCCGGTTCTTTTCAACGTACTGTGGCTTCTTTATTTCTTTATTCTTTATTTGCGACTACGCTAATTTGCGCTGCGCTTGGTATATTGCATTGGTCTGTATGTAAATGAGATGTTGCGTCTGTGTTCTTTAAGTTGCGCATTGTTAGTAAATCACACGCAGAAATTTGGAGTTTATTGGGGAAAAGGTCGTAGTTAATGGTTTGTTAATAGCGGGAATTGGACCTTAAAAGAAAGGGTTACCAGATTTTTCCCTTGTGTCCTTACATAAGCTGCACTTTTCTAACTCGTTTGTTTTTATATTTAACTTGACTAATAATAAAAGACATACAGACATAAGGTCTTGATGTTCCTCTCGCTCTTAGAGGATGTGGATCGCAGAAGCCCATGCTACTTTTGAGGTCTGGCACAATCATGACATACAGTACAAAAATACATAGGATATAGGCGCATATGTATTCACGATTAAGCATTAAAAGATCATGATCTCGATTCAAACAGATGCAATCTTATTCCTAAATGACGATGATTCCGATATTTAAACCTTTGAAATCACATCGATATATTTAACAGCTTCACAAACAGTAGGCTACATTTCTGTGTTGCAAACATTAAATAATAACGAAAGTACTGGGATAAAAGTCTGGATATAGACTCTGATGTTGCGAAACTGAGTAACTGACCTTTAGAACAAATGTTACGTTTCAAATAAAGAGATGTAGATGTTACATTATGCCAGTAGGTGGCGACCAGTCACTGGTAAACATGTATTTGATGTCTTCGTTTAAAAACTCTGGATGAAACAAGTCTTCATTCACTTATTTCAAGAGATTTTTTTCCATAATGAATTCATTTAAATTAATATTTTCACTAATTTGTTACAAATTAGACTACAGATTATTTTGTTTGCTTGTCTGATGTTTTGTTTTCAGAATCGTCAGATCTCTATTCTAAAAATCAATTATTCAAAGTCATAACTTAAAAAAATTAATGGCATCTAATCAATACTATTAGTATTGTTTCTAATATTAAATTGTAGACTAGTGCGTAAAATGTACAAACTTACAGACTTTTTGTTGTAGTACATCAACAAGAATTTGGTCCAATTATAATGCTTCTCATCCAGTGTGAGGAGTTCTGCAAGCCACACCCCAATCACCAATCCCTCCTCCTCCACACACCCCTTTCTTTTGGTTTGTTCTGCGATCCATAATGTCACACGAGTTCTTCACTCACCTTCCTTGGATGACTGCAGCGCTACAGTGACCGTCATCCAGTGGAGCGTCAGCAGAAAGCACAGCATCACGCGTCTGCAACACAAACACACACAACAGCTTCACTGCATGAGCCGACAGTAAATAAACAGTGCACACACACACACGTGTAACAATAAAACGCACATCACGACGAAGCTTCAAACCTCAACTCTTCTTAGACATGCAGAACTTCAGAGGCACACATGTTTAAAAGCCCTGTGATCTGTTGACAAAGGCTGATGGGAACTGGAAATACTGGAACCTTCATGATGCCACACAGACTCGAATTCATAGCTTTCAGTCTGTCAACACCCGAGCTGCATC